AACAACCCTAGCTGAATTTCCACGACTTATGCTCTCCAGTTTACCAAACACATCCCGAATATTGGATTGCACTCCAACACCTCTCACATAGCCACCGTACTCATTGGTGCCAAGAGCTGATGACAATACATCATTTTGCCTTTTTGGTTGGAATGAGCCTTGACTTATCTCTTCACACTTCTCAACCTATATTTCAACACAAACAAGATTTAAAATTTACATGTTAGCTAGTAATCTCGTCAATAATATATATATTTAAAGTATTTGTATTACTTACAATTTTATCCAACACTTCCTTCATTTTTTCGTTGGGAATGTAATAACTTCCATCTTCAGATTTTTTAGATCGCGCTCGAACCCAATCCAAACTACGATCAGTAGATGATATGGTCAAGGTATTAGCGGCACAAGAAGATTGTGAAGACAATGGGTCGCATATCAACCACTCAGACTGCTTTCCAACATAGCCCATAGACCCTAAATAGTGAAGATGCACATTTCGCGCTTGCAACTCCCTATACTTTTGACTGTTGGCCTAAAAATAAAATTTATTATTTAATAATATGTTAATAATAATAATACATGATTATTAAGCAAGTAAATTATGTAGTGTACCTTGGCAGCTTCAGTTTCATGCGTTGTTACAAATTGCTCCCATTTTTTTCATCCAAGAACTTATATAACTCACGGGGAAAGCTATATTTTTCGTTCAGTTTGTTGATGAAGTCACACACCAATCTTGTTTTGAAATCTTTCCAACGAAACCGTGCATGGATCAAAACATGACTTCTTCTTGACTCAGGGATATTAAACTCTTTCTGAATAACAACAATAAAATAACAAATAATTAGGCATTTATTGACATTTACATATATAAACTAATTAATGAACTCAAAACTAAAATAAAATAATGATCAATATATAAATTAAATTATTGACTATTACCTTAACTTCATCCCAGACTGCATCTTTAACCACATTTGGAATAAGACGCCAGTTTGGAATGTTTATGTCTATGTGAATACGAATCACAAGGCCAAGGTAATTTGAGTACTTCCTTGCATTTGGGCCAAGAGGCCTATTCTTCTCATCGAACACAATTGCCTTAGACTCATCCTCTTGTCTCTTCTTCAACATTTTAGTGCAAGTTGTAGCTCCTCTTGCTTTACGCACTTTGCTCTCTGTTTCCTTTGAAGATTCCTCCACTAACGGATCTGTGTGATCGTCAGCCATGTATACCTGCACATGCATAAGAAGAGACTGTGTTATAAAGAACATCTTATAAAAATATAACCATGTTAAAAAATAATAATAATATTACATTATAGAAATTATACTGTCGAATGGTCAATCCACAACCCTTCTTTATGATCAGTACGCATGTAATTAGTATCAATGTTGTCTTCACCTAAAGTCACATGTTGAATACCAATAGAAAATGGTGGGGTTTCATCAAATTGGTCATATTCTTCTTCATCAACAACATCACCAACACCAACAATACTTCTTTTGCCTTGTAAGACAATTGACCACTTACTATCAATAGGATCAGAAACATAGAAGACTTGTTTAGCTTGAGATGCAAGTATAAACGATTCATCATGATATCCAAGCCGACCAAAATCAACTAAGGTAAAACCCAAATCATCTACACGGACACCCCGCCTGTTATCAACCCAAGAACATCGGAATAGAGAAATCCTAAACACCTTATAATCAAGTTCCCAGATTTCATCAATAACTCCATAGTATGACATAGTAGCATCTACCGGGTTAGTATCTTTAGCACTAGAGTACTCTCTTGATTGTGCTACTAATGTCACTCCACTATTTTGCAAATGCCCTTTTGACTTGTTTTTGAAGTTTTTCCCCACACATTTTCAATGTTTTTGACTCGTTCATAAACAACATCCCCTGATAATGGTAAGCGAGCAACGCCAGTCTCAGATTTTCCCATTGAAAGCTTTTTTCCTCTTTCGATAAGGATGGTCAATAGGTAAAAAGGTTCGATGACTCATGAACACATTTTTCCTACTGTTGTTCAACCAAAGATCAACTGTTTCATCTTCACAAACATGGCATGCCTTAGCCCCTTTAGTAGTATACCCTGACAAGTTACCATATGCTGGGAAGTCATTGATTGTGCAGAATAGCATGGCTCGTAAAGTGAAGTTGGTTTGACTATGAGCATCAAATACTGTCACACCTTCATTCCACAACATCTTTAAATCTTCAATAAGCGGTGCCAAGTACACATTTATATCGTTTCCTGGTTGTTTAGGACCAGATATTAGCAATGATAACATGATGTACTTGCACTTCATACACAACCACGGAGGAAGATTGTAAACTGTTAAAAGAACTGGCCAAGTGCTATGACGACTGCTCATGTTACCATGAGGATTCATTCCATCCGTGCATAGTCCAAGCCTAAGATTTCGATTTTCAGCACCGAAATCAGGAAACTTCTTATTAATGTTCTTCCACTGAGGAGAATCGGCAGGATGCCTCAACTTTCCATCTTCTTTTCTCCCACTAGCATGCCATTGCAAATTCTTCACATCCTTTGCATTTGCAAACAAACGTTTGAATCTTGGAATCACTGGTAGATACCACAACAACTTCGCTGCAGGACCTTTCTTCTGCTCACATGCATCATCGAGCCCTTTTCGTTTATAACGCGATGCTCCACACTTCGGACACACATGCAAGTCTTTGTTTTGATTCCAATACAAAATACAGTCGTTTGGACATGCATGGATCCTTTCAATCTCCATACTCAACGGACATAACATTTTCTTTGCCTCATAAGTTGAACAAGGAAGTTCATTCTCATTAGAAAGCATGCCCTTTAAAAGCTCTAATAACTCCGTGAAACTCTTATCACTCCACCTATTTTTTGCTTTTACGGTATACAATTTAAGCACTGCTGATAACTTTGTAAATTTACTACATCCAGAAAACAAAGGTTTTCCAAAACTTTCAAAAAAACTTTCAAACTCTTGAGGCATTTCATTCAAATCCCCTTGCATATCACGCATCAATTCATCTAGCCGATCATTGTCTCCATCATTTCCAACATTATCTTCATTACTTTGATCTTTCTCTACATTTTTTCTACATTCTCTTTGATTTGTACTGTTACTAGTAAGGACAGTTTCACCATGCCATATCCACCGGTCATATCCTAGCTTAAAACTACGACGTATCAAATGTTCCTTAATTTGTTCAGAACTACGAAACTTTTTTAGATTTCTACAATCATAACAAGGACACACTATATAATTTTCACCAATTTTACTTGCATATTCCTCGGCAATTTTAACAAACTCTTGAACCCCATGAACATATTCCAGTGTATTGCGTTTTTTATACATCCAACTCCGATCCATATCTCCTATATATTGTCACACAACATTTAAGAAATTATAAATGAGTTAGTTTCTTAAGTTATAACTTAAAGGTTCAAATTAAACCGTTAACTAAATAATTTTAAATTTAAAATATTATCTTGACTAATTAATTTAAACAAATAATAATACAATATTATTATTAAACTAAATAATTTTAATTTCTTGAAACAATATTAAATGTAAAGCTCATTGTTACTGTGATTTGCTTGCATTAACAAGTATTCCATGTGCATACTATATAAACAATGTAAAGGCGTTGATCTAGATAAAAAAAAAAAAAAATTACAACTAGCCAATTGTAGGTTACCTAATTGCCTAACTAGTTGACCCCGTATGACTGCTTGAACCTTAACAATACCCAGAAGTCAATCACTGCTTGAAGTTTTATGATGCCCTTGAGAGTTTGAAATTCTTGACGAGCCTTCAAAGAGAGAAATAGTCATTAGCATTACTAAAGGAATGGTTTTAAGACCGATAACAAAATATATTAAAATATTTGTTTTGTAAATTAAAAGGGTTATGATCATATCGCTTAATATGTATTACTTGACCATTTTGATCAAATAAATTGATAATTTATAGAAATTCTCTATGTGGACTGTCGTTGGGTTTATACAAAAAAATAAAGAGTTAATAACCGATTTGATCCTCGAGTATATTCCTTACCAAATTAAGTCAACTGTGCAATATTTACTCGATTTGGTCCTCCGTCCATTCCTCCGTAATCTCTCTGTCTTCTATGAGGATAACTTTGTAATTACACACAGCCTCCTTAATTCCCATTCAGACAACGTATATTGTGGACTTGAATTATTATCCCAACGTATATTGCGTTCTTAATTATGAAAAAAACCCCAAATCGCTAACCCTAAATTTGCGTTCTTAGTTTGAAGAAAAACCTCGGTCGGTTTGTGGTGTATGTTCGATCAATGAGTATGGGAACGCCGGTGAGTAGGCATCGCGCATACACTTCAACAAGTAAGTTTTCATTATAGTTTAATTTATGAACAATGGTACGGCTGTGTAGTATAATTCTGGTGGGTGGGTCTATGGTTTCTGCGCAATTTTTGTATAATATTGGTGGGTGGGTGTATGGTTTAGATTGTTTGTGTTGATAATGGCGTCCACTATATTGTCATATTGTAAACTGTGTATGCTTGTAAAGTGTGTATGGTTGAAAACAATTTTTTTTCTGTAAACTTTGCATTATGTTGTCCTTTTTGTTACTTTTACTATGAATGTGGTCACATGATTGTATGTGCTTTGAAAAATTGTCTAAAATGGGACATTGTACCATTAATTTGCAGTAGGTTGTGAGCACATGGGGTCCAATTACTGTAAAGTTAAATTAATTCGTATTTTTTATGTTTATAATATCCAGTTATGTGTGTGAACCAGGTATTTTTACACCATTAACTTCTTTGCTGTAAAAGTAGCTTTACAGTAGATGTATTAACTACATTAACTTGTTTTTAAAGCAGGTAGTCATGGTAGTTACACATTTACCCTTAAATAAGGCATGGGGGCAGAATACAGTTAGGTAACCCATCTAGGTATTTGGAAGGTAGTGTTAACTATTTCAATGACATGGATTCAGATATGTGGGGTATCATGACTTTAAGGGAGAAGGTTCAGGAGTTGGGATATAAGAAAGAGGACAGTAGGTGTTTTAGTAAGACTGAAAATGGTCTAGAAGAGCTAGTTCTAGATCTGGATACTTAGAAATTGGTTAATTGTGGTTTGAGGCCAAAGGAAATTGAGATATGGGTTATAGTAGGGGTGGTAGGTGAAGATGAGGATGTTAATGAAGTAAATTAGTATGGTGGAGGGAGTTTTGCTGGGGATGATTCTGGTGGAGGGAGTTCTGCTGGGGAAGATTCTGATTGGGAAACTGGAGAGTATGGTGAACATTTAGAGGACTTTGAAGACAGTGATTATGAGCAGTGCAGAGTTGATGACCAGGAATTTATCAAATTCACATATCCAAATGTTGAGTATGTAGGAGATGGAGGTCTGGAAATTGCTACACAGTCAACTGGAGAACATAACCCTATAGTTGAGGAGGTTAATTTATCTGATGGTCCTATTCCAGAGAATGAAACTACAGCTATAGTACATATAGGAGAATCAGTTAGGCCTATTCTTCCTCCTCCAAATTTGCCTTCCCCATTGTGGCTTGGAAAATGTTATGTGAACAAAGAGGCTTTCAAAGTGGATGTTCACACATATGCTGTCCAGTTTGGAAAAGAGCTAAAGTTTAAGAAAAATGACAAGGTTAGGTGTGTATCTACATGTTCCCAAGAGGGATGTAAATGGCAGGTAACATGTAGGAAAGATTCTGATGAAGGAAATTGGAGGGTGAGTGCCTTAAATGATGAGCATTCAGATTGTCCCTGGGTGAATGATAACAGGTTGATAACTGCAAGATTAGTTGCAAAGAGGTGGAAAAAACACATATCTGGAAACAGTACTTTGAAAATGAGTGAATTTAGAGAGACAGTGTGCACAGAGGATCGACATTCAATGAGTATAAGGCAAGCATACAAAGCAATGAAAATTGCCAAGGCTGAAATTAAAGGTGAGATTGAAGACAATTTCAACAGAATATGGAGTTATAAATTGGAAATGGAAAAAACTAACCCCAATAGCAAGTGCGAAGTCAAATTATCTGATCTTGAATGTGAGGGAGGTAAAAAGAGATTCCTTAGAATATATATATATATATATATATATATATATATATATATATATATATATATATATTATATATATGTTGGGAAGCATGTAGAGAGGGGTTCAAGTACTGTAGGCCAGTGATTGGGGTTGATGGATGCCATATTAAGGACAAAGCTGGTGGAATGATGCTCACTACAATTGCTCTAGATGCTAATGAAGGAATATTTCCAATTGCATATGCAATAGTGGAAGGAGAGAACAAAGATTCTTGGTGGTGGTTTTTACATCTTTTGAAAACGGACCTGCAAATTGACAATATCTCTAAACATAAATATACCTTCATGTCTGATAAGCAAAAGGGGCTTATTCCAGCTTTTGAAGAAGTGTTACCAATGGTTTCTCATAGATTTTGTGTTAGGCATTTGCATGCCAACATGAAGGTAGCTGGCTTTGGAGGAATGGCAGTTAGGGATGCATTATGGAAAGCTGCTAGGACCACAACTGTACCAACATTTTCACAGGCCATGAGGGAGTTAAAAGCATTAGATGTACAAGCTTTTGCATGGTTGGGAGATAAGCATCCTTCTACATGGTCTAGTTCTCATTTCTCTACAGATGTGAAGTCTGATGTCCTTGTTAATAACTTATGTGAATGTTTCAATGCAATGATATTGGATGCAAGGGACTCACCACTTATACATTGCTTGGAGATTGTGAGGAAACATATTATGATGAGGTTATTTGCATGTAGACAGCAAGCACTGAAATGGAATTCAAAATTATGTCCTAATATTGCTAAGAAACTTGAAGCCATTGAGGAACAAGCAGGAGGGTATTGGGGAATCCAAAGTACTGCAGTTTTATTTGAAGTGAAGGGGGCTTATGACCAACATCAAGTTGATTTATATGCAAAAACATGCTCATGTAGGAAGTGGGATCTGACCGGTATACCCTGCAGACATGTTATATGTGTTCTATAGCTGAAATATGGAAAGGCTCAACTATATGACTTTGTGGATCAATGCTATACAGTTGACACATATTTAAAGGCATACTCTGGTGCTATCCATCCAATGGCAGGGCCTAAAGAGTAGCCAGAAACAGATAGGGAGCCTCCATTACCACCACTCTTCACTACTAAGATTGGAAGACCTAGAAAGATGAGGAAGAAATCTGCAGCTGAACTGACAAAGAATGGAATTCATATGTCTAGGCAGCATGTGAGGCTTCATTGTTCAATATGCAAATAGAGAGGGAATAACTCAAGAAGGTGTCCTCAGGTATTTTTTTGTAAATATGCAATCAGTTTAGATACTGTTTAGTATGTATGCATTCTGTGTGTTTAATGAATGTTGTTTTTCACATAGAGGAGAGAACAACCACAACATGAAGTGGTAAGAGAAGAACCACCACCATAAATGCCAAGAGAAGAGCCACCATGATACGAGTACATCCACGGGTGGAAATCAAGAATTGGGAAAAAGAAAAGAAACAACCCAAGCTACTAGGCCAATGAGAGAACGAAGGAAATCGGCATGGATGGCTGATTACATTTGTTAGACTAAGTTTATTCATAATAGGATACATTAGTTTAGTCCTAATACGTTATTATATCATATTAATTAAGAATCATAGTCCTAAGCATAATAGGAGTAACTTAGTAACTTACTCCATTATGTCAGACAACCAATCTACATCAACAACTCGTCCTTGGGAGCAGGCAATTGCTGAATTGCAAGAAAATTTTGATAGACAAACTGTTACAAACCACCAACTCATTCAACAACTCATTACCTCTGTGTCACGGTTGGAAACGATGGTAACAACAAATAAAAATGCAGCAGTGCAACCTCAAACACATGGAATTTTAGGACCTCCACCTGATACTCATCTACAACCATCTTTGCAACCGGAGAGTGGCCAAGGGACTCAACGATTTCATATGAAACTTGAGTTACCTCGCTTTGATGGCTCAGATCCTCATGGTTGGATATTTAGAATTCAAGAATATTTTGATTTTTATGATACACCTGACACACAACGATTGCGAATAGCAGGATTCACAATGGAAGGGAATGCTTCTGGGTGGTATCAATGGATGAAAAGGAATGGAATGTTAACTACATGGAAGGAATTTCTACAGAATGTCACAAAGCGGTTCAACGAGTCTCGTTTTGAGGATTCCCAAGGAAAATTGTCAAAATTGACACAGCAAACCATAGTCACTGCCTATCAAGCAGAATTTGAAAAAATAATGAATAAAGTTACAGGGATTGCAGAACATATCCTTATTTCCATGTTCATCGCAGGGCTTAAACCACTTATTCGACGAGAAGTGCAGATAGCACGACCAACAACATTGATGGAAGCTTTTGATCTTGCTCGAGAATATGAAGCAAAATTGGAAGAAATTCAGGCTGAGCTCCAACATGCACGAGCACCCTTAAGGTGGCAACAACGCCAAATACCATCTGCAAACACTACACGGTCAGCCCCGATTATAACACAATCATCGAACCAAGACAAAAGGGAGAAAACAGCCTTAGCTTTACCACCCTCAACTCAATCAACACAAAATGTCCTAATACGTTATTATATCATATTAATTAAGAATCATAGTCCTAAGCATAATAGGAGTAACTTAGTATATAATCACCATACATGCTAGGGGAAAGACATGCGAATTATTATTATCTTTTCTTCTCTACTATCATCTTCCTCCTCTGAAATCTCTCCATTAAACGATTAACACCTGCAGAAATGTGGGAAAAACGAGAGAAAGGTATCTGCTACAACTGTGACCAACGTTGGTCAACCAATCATAGGTGTCGAACCAAATTTCTAATGTTAATGGGGACATAAGAGGATGATATAGAAGATCCAATCTTAGAAGAAGAAATCATAGTGCGTAAACAAGATGACATAATCACAGGAGATATTTCCAGTCTAAACTCATTGGCAGGCCCGGGTAATCCCAGATCGCTTAAACTTTTGGGAGAAGTTAATGGCCGAAAGTTACAGATTTTAATAGATAGTGACAGCACCCATAACTTTGTGCAACCCAAAATTGCTGAGCAATTACAGTTACATACTTTGAAGGTCACACCATTTCGGGTATATGTTGGTAACGGAGATTCTCTAGCTTGTACCCACAGCTGCAAACAAGTATCATTGACACTACAAGGCACTGAATTCTTGGTAGACTTCTTTGTACTTCCAATTCAAGGCCCAGACATGGTATTGGGAATTCAATGGTTACAGGGACTTGGAAAAGTTGAGCATGACTATGCTAATGTGTCCATGGAGTTTGAATGGAAAGGCCACCAGATTAAATTGCAAGGAAATCATTCATTGACACCACAAGAAATAACTCTGAATCAGTTAGAAGCTCCAGTAGTAACAAGGGAAATACTGGAACTCTATGAGTTACTCTTAATACGTGGTCTTGAATCCCCGCCAGAAGAAAATAATACTGAAAAATCTATAGAAGCGGTAGAATTCCCTACAGATATACCACCAGAAATTATAACAGTACTTCAACAGCATGAGAAACTATTCCAAACACCTGCTACGCTACCCCCACATAGATTTTTCAATCACAGGATTCATTTAAATCCGGGAACCAAGCCAATCAATGTTCGCCCATATCGCTACCCGCACTTCCAAAAAGAAGAAATTGAGAAGCTTGTTACAGAAATGCTAGATCAAGGAGTTATTCGACCAAGTCAAAGCCCTTTCTCATCACCAGTCATACTCGTAAAAAGAAAGATGGGACCTACAGGTTCTGTGTAGATTATAGAGCCTTGAACGCTGCAACAGTACGTGACCAATTTCCTATTCCTACTGCAGATGAGCTCTTTGATGAATTAGGCCAAGCAATGGTGTTTACAAAATTAGATCTTAGAGCAGGCTATCATCAAATAAGGATGCATGACCGGGACATATATAAAACCGCCTTTCGAACTCACGAAGGACATTACGAGTTTCTTGTCATGCCTTTCGGGTTAATGAATGCCCCGTCTACCTTCCAAGCAAGTATGAACCGCATGCTCCACCAATTCTTGAGAAAATTTGTAATCGTGTTCTTTGATGACATCTTGGTTTATAGCCAAACACTGGAGGATCATATTTACCACTTACAAGAAGTGCTTGGCACATTAAAACAATATGCATTCTACTTAAAGTTGAGCAAGTGAAGATTTTGTCAAACTTCTATCGAATATCTTGGTCACATAATAGATCATGAAGGTGTGCATGCAGATCCTAACAAAATTGACGTAATGATAAACTGGCCAACACCGAAAACCATCCGACAATTAAGGGGATTCCTGGGACTAACAGGATATTACCGTCGTTTCATAAAAGGTTATGCCAACATTGCAGCCCCGCTAACTGACTTACTTAAAAAGGATGCATTCCAATGGGGACAGAAGGCAGAGGAAGCATTTACAGCCCTTAAAACGATAATGACAAAGACTCCGATTTTAAGACTCCCTAACTTTAGCAAGCCTTTCATTGTAGAAACAGATGCATCTAATGAAGGCATCGGAGCAATTCTTGTGCAGGACGATAGACCAATTGCTTTTTTTAGCAAAAAGTTGGGATTACGCTTAAGAAACTCATCAACATATAACAGGGAGCTTTTTGCCATTGTAGAAGCGGTACAAACATAGAGACAGTACCTACTTGGGAGATTTTTCACCATCCGCACAGACCATAAGAGCTTAAAGGAGTTGTTACAACAAGTAGTGCAAACCCCAACTCAACAGCACTACGTTAGAAAATTAATGGGGTATAATTTCAAAATAGAGTACAAACCTGGCAGTAATAATAAAGTAGCAGATGCTCTTTCAAGGAGAGAAGAAGAGACAACTCCGAACACATCGTATGGGGAAGTATTCCTCACAGTAAGTAAACCAATCCCAGAACTTCTAGAGACCATACGAAAGGAAAATAATTCAGAACCTAACATACTACAACTTCAAGAAAAAACTACAGAAGGGAGACTACCTAATCATTATGAAATCAAAGAGGGCTTAGCTTTCTATAAAGGTCGATATTGCATCGGAGCAAACTCTAAGATGAAATCTCACATACTACAAGAGTTCCATTCAACCCCAATGGCAGGTCACACAGGGGTAACCCGCACACTGGTACGGCTTGCAACTAATTTTCATTGGACAAACATGAGGGAAGATGTGAAAAAGTTCATTGCAGCCTGCCAAGTATGCCAACAAACCAAATATTCAACACAACCCCCTGCAGGACTACTCCAACCACTCCTAGTTCCTTCGAGAGTTTGGGAAGATGTAACCATGGACTTCATAACAGGATTACCGGCATCACGAGGACAAGGAACCATCATGGTAGTTGTGGATAGGCTTACTAAATATGTGCGCTTTGGGACATTACCACACCAATTCAGTGCACAGAAAGCAGCTAACGTATTTATAGAAATAGTGGCAAAACATCACGGTTTCCCTGCAACAATCGTCTCAGATCGAGACCCAATTTTCCTAAGCAAATTTTGGGATGAATTATTCACACTAAGTGGCACAACACTGAAGAGAAGCACATCATACCATCCACAGACCGACGGGCAGACAGAAGTAATGAATCGAGGCTTAGAGCAATACTTAAGGGCTTTTACTCACATCAAACCAACCAATTGGACGTCATACTTGGGATGGGGAGAATTTTGCGCCAATACAAGTTACCACAGCAGCATTAAAATGACTCCATTTCAAGCACTATATGGAAGACCACCACCCACCTTAGCACCGTATACAAAAGACACAACAACAGTGCAAGCACTAGATGAATTATTGTTGGATCGTGATAGATTGATAAGGCAACTGAAACACAATCTTCGGGAAGCTCAGCATCGCATGGCCCAAAAAGCCAATGCCAAAAGAAGCGAAGTGGAATTTTCAGTAGGAGATAAGGTTTGGCTTCGTCTACAACCATATAGACAGATATC